AAAAAAAAAAAAAAAAGGGAAGTCAGGGAAGGTCTTGGTTCCCAGTCTTTCCTTTCAGCTTGTTCAAAAACTGGGCTTGCTTGGCTTCTCAATGGGCTTCTTGGTTTTCCAGAAGGAGCATAAGGGGCAAATGAGGTCCTTTGGGCCTCCCACAGGCTGGAACAGCAGGCCCTGAAGGGGAACAGAGGTGGGAGAGGGCTGAAATCTCTCCAGGGAGCTAGACAATATGGTCATCTCGGGTGATTTTATAGAATCACAAAATAAGTCAACACTGTTATGCCTGCTAGTGGAAGGAAGGAAATAGTGACACTAATTTCTTAGCTAATCACAAACATCTTTTTTTTTCCTAGTAGCATGATGCCTGAGTACCATATTTACTTATAGCCCTTGCTGTCGCCCCCCAGCGGGTGTTTTCCTGATGAAGTGGTGTGTGTGTGTGTGTGTGTGTGTGTGTGTGTGCACGCGCGCGCACGGGTTAATTGGCATGGTGGTCAGGAGAAACATGTGGGTAGCAGATTTCTTCACCTGGGCTCAGTCACTGCTTCAGGCACAGAAACCAACAGTGTTATTCCTTCCCCCCCATTCCCCCTTCTTTAAGCACCACGTCCTCATACTTCCTGCACACAAGTCAATCACACTTCGTTTGCAGAGACCCAGGCTACTGGGCATTGCAGTTCTCTAGGCAGGAAACCAAGAATCCTAATATCTGGGAGAGAACATTTGGAGCATGGTCGGCTTGATGGAGGGAGCAAGGATGTGAACACATGCAATATATTTATACCGTATTTTTCTCACGTTCACGTTTAAAAATATTTGCGTTCCCTAAGCAGAAATCTATACGGTGAAAGAAAGCAACCCGGAAGGCAGCAGAGACTGGTCTGAGATTAAACATTTGCTCCAAAATAATCCATGGCGTGGAAAATCTACTCACAGGTCATTGGGTGTTGACTTGTCTCAGCTTTCCTCGCCAGACCTTTTGTGCCCTGCTCAAAAGAGGCAAGAGTTGCTGGTTTCAGTTTCCTTCTCCCTTTTCCAGACCACTTTCAAAGTGGATGCTGAGGAGTGGGCACGGTCAGAAGGAGACTAGAAGCAGAGCGTTCTAACAGCCTGACTTCCTAGAGCCCAGATGGGGTTTGCTGGGCTGCTGGCTCCTGATTTGCAATTCTGGATGGGATTCTGCCCTTGGTGAGCCCTGAGCAGCTCACTGCCTTTTTCCTGGGAGGCACTGTCTTCACGCTGGAGCTTTGACCTTCCCCCAGCCTCGGTGGAAGCCAGGGAGGCCAGAATCAGTGGCTGTCTTCTATTCTTTCTAGGACAAGCCTTCCCAACATGCTCTGGAAACCAGGGCGAGGCGTGAGGGGCTTGTGGCATTCACAGCGGAGTCGAAGGCCCTCACTCCTTGCCCTCCCTTCTCCTCTGAACCCTGCATGTCCTCTCTGTGTTCCCCATGTGGCCGGAGCCAACCTCTGGTAGCTAAAGAAGTGGTTGAAAGGAGTCACTGTCTGTGCCATTTATGTCTGTTCCATGCAAATCCCTTTGATAGCAGGTTCAGCTTTATGCAAAATCATATACAACACAACTAGAGACCAACAAAGACAAACACACAGCCAGGGGGCCTGCTAGGCAGAGCCACAGTCGCTCATCACTGGGATGGAGAGATGAGGGGACAACTAGTTTTGATGCCCCAGAGCTTCCCTCAAGCATGCCGAGTTCAGAGAGAGGCACGAACCCATGGAATTCTCCTCTACACCAAGCACTGCTGGGTCTTCATGTATCCTGAACTTCTCTCCTCTCAGAAGCCCTCCCTACAATTAGTGCCTTATCCCGATGTCTCTCAGGGAGCCGAACATACAATAGGTGCTTGTTCATCAGTTCAGTTATTTACTTACTCAACAAATACCTATTGAGTGTCTATGAGGAGGTAGGCACTATTTTTTGTGCTGGGGATAAAGCCGTTAAAAGGCAAAGTCCCTGGCCTCATGGAAGTTAAATACTAGTGGGGGAAATGGGCAGTAAATAAATGATTCCTATTCAGTAAATATTTGTTGAATATAAAAAGCCTCCCATTTATGGCTTTTTAAGATGCAGTGTGGTGATTTGGAGTCAGACAGCCTGGGGTTACACACTACTCCATCCATTAACTTTGGGCAAATTACTCATCCCTTTGAGGCTTGGTTTTTCCATCTGAAAGATAGGTCAAGTGATCCGCCCTCTTAGAGTTTGGACAGTGGTCAACACGCAAGAAATTAAACCTGGTACTGATGGATGGTGCCTTCTCTGGGCCTCAAATCTTACCCCTCAGAGCTCAATCTTAAGCATAACCAAACCTGAGCCCTTTCTACTCTTCCTTTTGTGTTTAGAGGGTTCTCTCTTTCCTTGGTGTGCTGGTTCAACACCCAGTTCTATGAGAGAAAGAAAGAAAGAGAGAAAGGGGGGAAGAGGGAAAGGAAAAGAAAAGAAAAGAAAA